AATAAATCCCCCATTTTAAAAAAATCACCCATGAGTCCCGACTGCCAACCCCGGGCAGTTCACGGGGCTCGTCCCGACTGCCAACTCCGGGCAGCCCATATTGGGACAAAATCAGCTGGCAATAAACATGCCCGTCACATTGCCAGATTTTGGCTGGTGTGCCCTCGCACTAAGGTTAAACCTAGTCGAGAACGTAACACTGAGTGGATCCCGACTAGTAGTGCTGGCCAGTGATGCAGACAGTACTCTCTCATTAGACTCTAGGGCGCTGATCTTCGTACAGTATGTACGGTAAAGGCAGACTTATTCAGTGGACGCAAATTTTTTGGCCGAATTTTTATTGAATTGCTTTTTTTTAATTAAATTGTACACAAAATTTCACAATTGCAGTTAATGGGAGGGGAGAAGGGCTTTTAATATTGGTACTTTAAATCTGCTGCTTGTCACTGAAGTGCTATCTGCACCAAACTAGATACGCTAGTCGCTAGTGTCCTGACGTGGCATTTTCGATTATCCAGGCAGCTTTAATTTCTTTGGTATAAAGGCCATTGCTATGCTTGGTGGTTTTGTTGCTGCTAACATTGTTATGTTAGCCCATTGGTGTACAGGGCTATGTTTGGTCTCTTAGCTGTGCGGCAGAACTGATACTTTTTTTCTCGGGCAAGTTGATAACTCGAGTTCTGAGAAGCTACAAGGCTGAAATATTAAGAGGATTTTCCCCGTTCAAGTAGGTATTAGTGAGCTCAAAGCCAGTCCCCGGGTAAGCGAGGTACCCATGTACGGTTTCGTGAAAGTTTTTTTCGAGTATATTACTAACTCAGAAGCCAGGAAAGCTTGAAAGTTGATATTTTAAGGGAGTTTTTCCTGACAGTTCTGAAGACCAGTCTAAATTTGCTTTGCTGGAAGCATTTGCTGGGCAAACCGGTGCCGGTAACAAAAACTGCGGAGAACTATGCAAAAAACGCATCTTCGCACGGGCAGCCCGTGCGCTGGCGAATTATTCTCTCAGCACTGAGGGGGAGAGACGGCTTAATGGATCGAAACACTCCTGCTTATCTGCTTTTTTAAAATATATTTTGTATATATAAACACTAATTTATTTACTGCGGGAAAAAGCGGATCCTTATTTTGATATTCTGGTTGGCTGAAATTCATAAATTGACCCTCTGACTATGTATTATA